ATCTAAAGGGGAAGATAAAACTCAATGAGTGCAAACTAAATCAGAAAAGAAAGTGAACAAATTAATGATAGCACACTGAACTATCCACATATACACTTAAACAAACACATATAACCAGTGATAAAATTTCAGCATGCAAAATTGTGTTTCAATGTGCCACTGGAATGTATACTCCAAATGAGTAAGGGAAGAAGCTCCCAATCATCAACGGTCTGCCAAAACATGAAGGAATGAAGCTCCTAACACCAATTGAATAGGAGGAATACATCAATGGCATGAATGTTCCTAGAAAAATCATCAACGTGCATGATCTATGCAATCGTGAGTGTGCGTCCATATTTTAACATTTATAGATCCATTTTGAATTACATCGTGAGTGCAATGTAACGGGAATGTTCTTCTCATCACGTGGATAGGTTATTGAGTATCCATTTAGAAGATTAAGTTGTATCAATTTTTAAGCCTCAATGGTTTGTTGAAGATGCTATTCGTATTCCTGTATAAATCACATTATCAAAAGTAACAAACTTTTGCAGAAGACACTACTAAATTCTACCATGCTTATACGCCAAACAGAGTAGCATCAGTTAAATGTGAATGAAGGTATTGACGCAGTCACACAACCAATAATCTAAAAAAATTATTTGGGTTAATATACATATACACCCTATAATCCAAAGAATTACATAAATGACCGGCCAACAATATGTGATATTTCGCAAGTTCGCCCATATATTTTTTCATACATATATATGTAAAGATTATATAGATAGAAGTATTAGTCCATATTGTTTCCTAGATATTCTTATGTTGAAATCTGAGTAAAACTTCCACATTTCATGGTTTCTAGTTGTTCCTTCATTTATTTTGTATGTTTGTCATCTTTGCAGCATGTTGTCGATGCATTTGATTCAAGGTTATTTGTAGTTATCTCATCCAATAAACTTCAGTTCAATAAAGGTATTCTTTCGTGCAACATTTCATGGTAGAACCATGTGCCTAAGAGGGCGAGGACTTTAATAGCCATAATTCTTCCCCCGGTTCTACCTCTACCTTTGGTCCAAATATTTGTTATTGTGGGCAGTATAGTTGTAGTCTTCTCCTAAAGTTACTAAATTGCTCGACGCAAATAACTATAGTACTATACCTATTGTAGAAAACTTCACATTTCAAAGCACCTAATCCATTTATCGTAAACAATATTCCACCATTTAAGATTGAGAAATAAACTACTCAAAGAAAAATCAACATCTTGCTAACATGGCTACTACACTACTCTAAAGAACACCTAATAACTAAAGAGAAATCACATAATGGAAGCCTCCTGTTATTCTGTAGGATGAGAACAAGTGCCCCAACATTTGTGACTGAGATATAAACTCAGACCGGGCTCCAAAAAAAGAGTGAGACACAAGATATTGAAGTTATAATATAACTATTTTTCTTCCGTTTGAACTTTTATTTTGTATTCAAACAAACACACACAAGGAAATCGTTATTTTTCTTGTGTTTTCTTTATTTTATCTTTTCTAAAACTCAACTGCTCATTGCTCTTTTGGTGTGCAAAAGGATACATAAGAAGATATAGCAGTAAAGGGTGAGCGAGTCACTAAGCAATTGCTTGTGTGACATGAATTAAAAAGGAACAGACACTGATTCGATTAAATTTTCTCCCTCTTTTTTGTCTGGCAAAGTTTATTTTTGCTTTCTTGTATACTAATCAAGCAATCAACTACTCAATTTCGAACTGATTGGATTAGTAATTATTTCATTCTAATAGTGAATTCATATAAACAGCTATTTGAATCAAAGTATCGCAAGCGCAAAGAAAATGCAATTTTTTAACATGCTTCTAGGTTAACATCCTACCGATTGTACTGCAGACAATTCCCAGCACAGTGCATCACTAACATCTTCTTAAGTTGAATTTTTAGTGTCAATAAATTGGAAAGCTGATTTTACTTAACCACCAAGTTGATAGTTTGTACATGCAAAATTTACTTATAAAAATGTATGCAAAAACAATCTATGCATTATGGAAATAGCAAAAGAATCCATCTCAAATACACACAGGCCATCAGCCTTTGAGAAATATGTTAAAGCCCCAAATACCCTAATTATCTCCAAATAAACTGACAGAAAACAATTGTAACAACGTTAACGCACAAGTGAGAAAAGGAGAAGCACATAAGCTAATAATTGGAAATTTAATTGACAGAGAACAAAAATAACAAGTTCAACATTCACCTAAGATGAAGAGGTCAGAGATCGAATAAAGAAACAGAGGTATTTGTTGATATATACGATCAACAAAAAACATAGTAGAAGCGAGAAGAAAAATATAGCAAATAGTTAGTAATTCAAGTGAAGCGGTCTCCTCGTCCTTGCTAAGTCAACTGATAAGTTTGGCCGTTCAAGTATTTTTTCAAAATAATAGAGAAGATAGAAATATGCATAAGAATTTTAACAAATATGGTAATTCATTGAAGAATTTTCTCAAACGCCTAGAGAACCTTAATAGAAATGGTATTTGTTCAAGAATTGTCTCAAATATTCCTCAAGACAAATACAGATAAAGATGAATCAAGAGATGGTAGAAGGGATACCCAACAGAAAATACGATTGACGGAATAAAACACATTGCAGTACAAACTTGAGAGTCCTCAAGACAAATACAGATAAAGATAAATCAAGAAATGGTAGAAGGGATACTCACCATAAAATATGATTGATTGACGGAAGAAAACACATTGCAGTACAAACTTTTGCTACTGAGGCAATGCCTCACGTGCACACTATATTGTCCACCTCAACATTTTTGTTCTGTAAATAAAGAATCGTAAAAAGAAATAAGTTCGAGTAAAGGCGCATACAATGAAAAATATTTTTTTGTAATAAAGTAACTCAGAAGAACCATAAAACAGATATACCTTAATGATTTTGAAAGATCCAATATATGCTGGTTTACTAATCATCCTGCATACTAGAATTGTAAAGCATAGATAGACAGTAAACCCTTCTCCTTTTTCCGGGCTTGAGACCGGCTGTGGTGTAGTAGTGTAACCGAAACACAAGCGGAGTTAAAAACTTGGTTTTTTCATTGTTGAACTAAAGGTCATTAGGTCTCCTACGAGAAAGCTTTCTGAATAATTTTGTCATAAACCACATTATATGTTGAATGATCATCAGTAGTGTCCGCTGTAGATGGTCGAATCAGTATTTTAACACAGTTTGAACTTTTCGCTCTTGATAAAGCAACATAAAGCTGACCATGAGAAAAAACAGGTTCACGTAAGTAAATTCCAACAAAATCTAATATTTGANCCAACAAAATCTAATGTTTGACCTTGAGCTTTGTTTATGGTCATAGCAAAGCACAATCTTAGGGGAAATTGTGTTCTCTTAAATTGAACAGGTATTTTTTCATCTTGTGATGTTAACAATGGTATTCTCGGAATAAATACATGTGTATTTTTGAAATCACCACTTTCAATTTTAGCACTTATGACATGTGTTCTAAAGTCACAGCATGTTAACCGTGTACCGTTGCATAAACCTTCGCAAGGATTTAGATTTCGTAATAATATAACAGGACAATTTTCCTTTAAAGTTAACTTATAAGGCGGTAAACCAGGAGGATCTAAACTATGTAGAAAATCTTCAAACTGGCTTTGATCGTTCGGGTCAATAGTTTCATCTACTGCAACAAATGTTTTAGACCTTTGTGAAAATTTAGTGATCAACATATTATTTATTTCATTTACAAAGTCATTCTTCGTTGTTAAAATAACACGAGAGGTTATCATAGATGAATCAGGAGAAAATGCGTGCAAATCAAGATAAGTTACACTAAACAATGCATCTAAGGATTCTTCTTCAGTCGTAAAAGGAATAACAAAAGAATCAGGAATCTCTATTTTGTCTTCACAGTTAGTTCTTTCTGTTCCATTTCCAATTCGGAGTAAATATTCACAAAAAAAAGGATCTGTTCTTGCGCGCATATTTTCAGATAGGCGTAATTTCTCAAGCTTATTCCAAATTTCAGAATACAATAAGCTTTCATAAATAAAATCTTCTTTTTTTTCCATTTCGAACAACTGGTAGAGTTTGTCTAAAGTCACCTCCAAATACGACAACTTTACCACCAAACATTGTATCGACGTCCATAATATCTCTTAGAAGTGCATCAAGAGCTTCAATCATATTCTTTTTTGCCATTGATGCCTCATCCCATACAATTAATTTCGCATCTCTAATTAGACATGCCAGCGAACTCTGTTTACTAATGTTGCAACGAAAATTATCATCTATATCAATAGGCATTTTGAACCGTGAATGAGCAGTCCGTCCTCCTGGAAGGATAGAAGCTGCCACGCCAGAAGTTGCAGTTGCTAAAGCTATAAATCCTTGAGACTAGATTGTTGCTAATAATGCACGGTATAAAAAAGTTTTACCTGTTCCTCCAGGACCATCGACGAAGAATGTTCCTTGTTTTCCAGAAAATACTCTATCAATTATTGTATTATATGAGCGTAATTGTTGAACATTCAATCTCTTCGGTAAAAGTAAGTCTTGTTCACTAACAATTATATTTCTTTCAAAATGAATATCCTTTGCATCCTTTGCAGTTTCGGAAGCTCTAATATTCTTTGGAATAAGCTTATACTCATTTATGTCGTGTCCCATAGAGTGCAAGATATCATTGATATGGCTTAAAACCTTATGCCGAACACCTTTTTCTTCAAAATCAAAGAAATATTTAAAGTCTTCGGACGTTGAATCTTCAAACATTTCCCATAATTTTTTTGGATCAGCAGGATTGCAATATACTAACAGTGTGGCAAATAAGCGTCTCAAGCTATATGGCATTTGATAGCTAACAGCCTCTAACATACATTCAATTAGACTATTGCTACAGTATAATAATCCTCTTTTTTCTGCTGATTCTCTAAATGTACTACAGGGTATCTCGCTAACAGTACGAAGATCTTCATATGATTTAGGCCCTCTCACGTTCATCAATAATAACCTGAGATAATACCTCTCTCCTTCTGTTGGATGACATGTTACAACACGTCCAATTACGTTACGTTTTTACCGACGTGTCCACGTTCTATATCCTGGAGACCATACAAAATGTTCTGGAAACTCCTTATACAATAATTGCATAGCTATAGCATGTTCATTAGTTCTATTCATAGCAAAAAATTCAGTCAACATTGTTTTTCTAATCATCGGATTATTTAAAATTCTATTCACAGTTTCACTACTTTTAAAAGAAACAAATTGCTGCCCTTCTGAATGTAATTGAAGATGATAAACAGTCGGAGTCATTTCACTAATAGGAAAACCAAATAAACGCCATGCCGCTTCTGGGGGTGTTACCCATCTAGCAGATCGATATTCTTTTATTTCATCTATTTCATTATTGTTATGTATACAGAAAGCAATTTTATCATGTCCCTTGCAAATGTATTTGTAAATATATTTTACAACTTTAATATCAGAACAAACTTCAATATTCATATGACAATCAAACTTACAAAGTAAGTAAGGATTGTACGGGACATCCCATGAATTATTCAAATATTGTTCCCTTATATGTACAAGTTTACCTGTGCTTCGTCTTCTATAAATTGGATACGAATTCTTTCCTTTTGATGTTTGCTCAGCAAAATCTTTTGGATAATTAAATTTACAAAGCCCTCTTTTTCCCATACATGAATTTGTAGGATTTAAATCAACACACGGTCCGTGCATCATATGTTGAAGCACACGTGAATAAAGGTGCTCTTCAGTATTACAATCAGGCAACTCCGCACAAACAAACTTATCATAAGATTCAGGTGCTAACAATTTGTACTCACAAGTAAGTATGATAAGAAAATGAGCATGTGGAGGACCACGTTTTTGAAATTCTATAGTATACATAAAAGCGGCAACTTTTCCAAATATATTTTTTTTCAAGATATCTGCTTTTAATTCTTCTACTTTTCCTCTGAATACTCGTGATACTAAATCAGGTCTATTTTGAGTTTCATCTGTTGATAATNTGAAATTCTATAGTATACATAAAAGCGGCAACTTTTCCAAAGATTTTTTTTTTCAAGATATCTGCTTTTAATTCTTTTACTTTTCCTCTGAATACTCGTGATACTAAATCAGGTTTATTTTGAGTTTCATCTGTTGATAACAAGTGTTGTTTTATTTCTGGCCAAGATGGATTACATGTCATAGTTAAAAAAATATCAGGTTTTCCAAATCGTTGCACTAATGCAATAGCATCCATATACCGTCGACGCATATCCCTTGGCCCTCCTATGAAAGTAACAGGGAGGAATGTTTTCTTGCCAATCTTGGAAGCTTCTGTTTCACCAAGTTTTAAAAAATTAATAAGTCCTTGTAGCACATCCATTCGAAACAAATCTTGATTAAAAAAATAAAAATCTAATCTTTGTGTTTCTAGCTTTATGAACACATCTACTATGAATTGTTGAAATAATCTTCCACAATGTAGGACCTCATTTTTTTCATCCTCTCTTATCTGAAATTTGTAACAATAATACTCACGACAAGAAACTATCTCTTTTTTTCGTTTTCCTTTTTCCTTAGTTTGAGCTTCCATATCAAGAAATCCATCAATGGAACACATGTTCTTTACACTCGGTAATTCTTCATTTTTACAATAATGTTGATCTGTTCGTACAATTTTTTTAATACCACAATGCCACCCGTTTTGACTGTATGGAAATAATAACGGATATTGTAATGCATCATAACATCCATAATAATAGTTTACTGATTGAGTCTTGTCACTATGTGTGTAAATACGAATATGAGGCGTAGAAACAATATCGACAGCATTATCATGTACCCATATTCCAGCTACCTCTGTTGTAGTTGGTAGATTATATACACGTTGATCTGACTTTGGTTCACATTTAAGCGCGATATAGCAATCAGATAGTTTCGGAACGTTTGTCAAGGATTTTAAGAAAATGGAATATGGATTAATTGAGAGCACATGCATAAGCCTTTTTACAATTGATTCGTTAATATTTCTTGAACAAGCCATTCTGTTAGCAAGTTCATTTTCGTTATCATAAAAGTATAATTGCATATTCTTTCCTTTTTTATCAAAAGGAAGTAAACCGGGTATAAAATGATACATTTGTCCCTGAACTCGAAACGTATATATACCATGATATCTCCTCGCTAAATCTTTATCATTGGTTACACCAAGTGACGTAAAGGCAAACATATTGTTGTATGCTCTAATGTAGGTTCGAAAGTGCTTAGCTTCTTCAGTGTTACCTGTGTACAAGTCTGATAATTCATTAGGCAGGTCATATGAAACTAACTTAACTGACTCGCTGCCACAGCAAAATCTAGGGGGTTCATATTGAAACCTTTTTTCATTGCAAAATTTACAGTTTGGAACATCTTTTAATCGTGCATAATCCATATGTTTGTCATTATTTTTCTTATGGATTAATTTGGTGAAGGTATCACCTGTATGTTGTAAGTATTGTTAAAAATAAAGACATGGAAAATATTCTACTAATGAATAGTGTTACTCTAGCGTGAAAGAAATACTAACCTTTGCCTGTGGCATCGGGGAACAAATTTTGTTGTCCCTTAGATGCACGCGATGTTGATCCTGGGGCACAACTTCTCACAATTTAGATGTACACCTAATCCGTGATGTGCTAAGAAACATGTTCATAGACGTTCTAGGTTTACCTCTTTCAAATACAGAAAACGGATGAGCGACATTTTTTCCCTTATCAAAAGAACTTGAGAAAGTATTAACATCATGGTTGCTGCCAACTGCAACAAATATGAAACACATTTTACATTTAATATATTCAAGCAAACACGTCATAGCCTGCTCTGCTTATAAAATAATTACTTAGTAAAATATGAATATTTATCTGTCTGCTGCTACACTAACATAACATAAACAAAAAGCAATAATTCAGTCTAACCTTGGACGTCGGCAGAAGAAGGCTCTCTTATGATAAGAGCAATATGTTTTCGAATCATAGGGTAACATTGATATATTACTTTTTCATCTGGATCAATTGTCGATTTTATCGAACTATTCCATTTTTGCCGTTCAAGTTCTTTGGTGCGACGTTGTAGTAACATTGCCTCTTTTTTATCAGGCAATATTTGTCAATAAATATGACGTCTTCTTACATTCTTGTCAGAGTTTGTATGTTCTGCATATGGCCGTTTGTTTCTTTGGCCGGAATACATTGTTTCACAAGCTTATTAACGCAAGATAACTGCATTTATAACAATCAAACCAAAAAAAAGCGTCAGTAGACCCTAAGTAACACATTTTATTGTTCATTCTACTGCTAAATAATAGAAATATAATAACCCGTTGGGGTTCAGCCTTTTAAAGAGAAATCTTTTAAAGAAAGTTGAATAACAGTGGAAAAATGAAGAGGACTTAGAATTCACAGAAGAAATGCAAAATAAATAAATTAATAAAAACAGACAACAAATCAGAAACCAATCTCACTTTGTTTTCACTTTTCTTAAACGAATCTTAAGAGTAAAATGAAGAAAATATTGCTAATCAAGCCAAAACCCCAAAGATCTGATATTTTTGCAGAAGAAGAAAAAGTAGAACAGAAAGCATAAATAAAATAAAATACCGGACTAAAAAACAAACAACAAATCAGAAACCAATCTCACTTTGTTTTCACTTTTCTGAAATGAATCTTAAGAGTAAAATGAAGAAAATATTGTTAATCAAGCCAAAACCCCAAAGATCTGATATTTTTGCGGAAGAAGAAAAAGTAGAATAGAAACCATAAATAAAATAAAATACTGGACTAATTGGAATAAACCTGCTCTTTGTGGTAGATGAGAATCGGAAAAGGCTAAGTGTTGTAATTTCGTTGAATTATTAGGTGAAGTCTGCTAAATTTTGGGGCAATTGATGATGTCCTCTTTCCTTCCTTCGGCAATTTTTGGTTATTGCAAACAGATGTGGAGTAGGTTGTGTTGAATGGAGGTTTTAGGTTTGAAGAATTGGGAGGTCACGCGTTGGCTAACGGCAGAAAGAGTCAACACTTGAGCTGTAAATTAATGAAATTACAAACATACCCCAGACAAAGTTAAATATTCAAGGGAACACACACGTTGACGGAGAGGTGCCTGTGTTCCCTCTTCTAATAAGTAGGAACAAAACAATATTCTAATTTAAATACTTAAATATGACCATGCTTATATGGCAAGGACATAGCTGATGTCGCGAAAATGAGTGTTAATCACACCTATGAAGCACGTGTGAACATGATTATTTTAATTTTAAAAATCTAAAATCAGAAAAAATGAATTAAAAGTAAAATACAATTAAAAAAAAAAGAAAAGAAAAATCGTCTTTCCAAGCTCTCCAGCTCCCCCTTTCGCTCCTCCTTTTCTCCACCCTCTTTCATACTGTCTCCAACCTCCCCCATCCCATTTTTTTCTCTTACCCATCCTCAACCATATTGTCATAATATTGTCCTCGACACCGGCGTAGGAACATAACAATGAATATTTACTGGATAACGTCAGCTTCAACGAGAGACTTGTTTAGCCTGAAAATTTTATCCAATAATATCATCGGAGAAGATGATAGGCTAAAGTTTTTCTGCTGGAATCTTCTCTGTTAAGATCTGGTCTTTGGGGTGGTTTCGGGAGGGAAATTTTGGGAAAGAAAATTTTAGGATGAGAGAGGGAAGGGATTAGGTTTATTGAATCCTTCTACTGTTCTTATAATATTTATTTTTCTGGTTTATTTCGTCACTTACTTTGCTTGAGATTCTTGTAGACTTAAGCTATCATAGTGAAGACTATTCACATTTATTGTTTACAATCTAATCTGGGTAAAAAATTATACTTTGCTGTTGGTTTGACTTGCGGTAATGTGAATCTGAAGTCTATAGTTTTTGGAGTGTGAATTTCACATTTCTGGATTTTCCAAGTTCATCTTTACCACCGTGGTGGCCATTTGTGGCAACTAGTAGAAATGAGGCAAAACGGGTGTAGAAGAAGCATGCTTACAACAGAAGTGGGGTCCACAATTGTAAATGTCTAAATTTATACTCCATTAAAAATGAATATGTGGCAGCTAAACCAGTGACATGCCATACATGTGCTATTGTAGAACACACTCTGTATGAGGTATTTATTAGTTGTGTTATTATAAAGTAGAAGTATTTAAATGGAAAAGTGTAAGTTTATATAAGAAAATTACAATCGGGTGCAAATTTAGGTGGTGGGAGGACAGTTTTGCCAAATCTTTTTAAGGTGTCTAAAGGAACAATGCTTTAGTTTGTTTTTTTTAAGTACAAAGTTATTCAAATGTTTTACATGGACAAATGGCTTATAAAATTGTATTTAGTCTTTGTCACTAATGTGAATGATGTTTCCATTTGACCAAAATACCTCGTTAAGATTTTATGTAATTTAGAATTAGCAATGATAATTCAACAATTTTAAATTAATACTATCTTGTCCTACAATAAATTTTTAGAAAAAAAGTAGACGAACTGTATTCATTTATGCGATTCACGGATTTACACTTCCAGCTTACTTTTGCTTTTTTTATTTACACTTTTAACTATGTCAACTGATTGACATAAAAGAAGAATCAATTCCATCCTCTTAAGAATTACCAATATATAATACAGACACGTAACTGTAATCAAGATCTTAATGATGTCACCATGTTTGAATCATTAGCGGAACTTTATCATAAAAGATTAGTCTTTTAATCGAACTTGACTTTTATTCTCTATCTTTTGAAGCACTAACAAAAACAAAATTCTCAACTATCGTAGAAAGAGGGGAAGAAAAAAAAAAGTTGCGGCTGGCAACTACTGAAAACCACGCATAAAACGCGAGATAATCCGGGCTTTTTTTTATTTTTAATCCGTATCAAAAATTATTTATATTCATAATCAAAAAATATATAAAATTTATATAATTTTTTATTATTTTGAGAACAGTTCATTTTTCCTTATGATTAAGCACGTGAAGTCGGCTGTAGACTGAAAACTACTGGAGGCATCTTTTCACTCTTCAGTGCTCATCAATTGTGGCGAATGAAGATGACAAATAACTCAATTTATTTTAATAGCAGTCGTCTTATTTTGGAACTTTAAATCTATTTTCCCATATTTTCCTCGTTCTCCACCTAGTTTAATTGTACAAGACCACAGTTGACATTGCCCTTTCTTCCCCTACTCCTCTATATTTTCCACTCCCTTTCTCTTCACTCTTTCTGTAGTTTTCTTTGAAAAAAAGTTTTTTTTTGCCCAAATGGATTTCTCCAGATGGGTTTTCTTGATTTTGATTTTTGTTTCATTTTTTGCCATACCCATTTGGTCAGACTCTTCATTATCAGAAATTCCTATTAATTTTCTCAATTTTGCAAAGAAGGCTGAGGTTTTTGATTGGATTGTGGGGGTGAGGAGAAGGATACATGAGAATCCAGAGCTGGGATATGAAGAATTTGAGACCAGTAAGCTTATAAGGGAAGAATTGGATAAGTTGGGGATTTCATACAAATACCCTTTTGCTACTACTGGTGTTGTTGGTTTTATTGGTTCAGGAAAACCCCCTTTTGTTGCAATTAGAGCTGATATGGATGCTCTCCCTATGCAGGTTCAAAATCAAATCTTTTCTGTACTTTGATATACGTGAAACTGATTACTTCTCTTTAAATGCTACTGGATTTTATTAAATTCTGATTGTCCTCTTGGATTTTGATGTAAAAGTTGTGTTCTTTGTACTGATATACTGATTAGAATTCACAAAATAGGCAATAGCAATGTTGAATATGATTTTAAGCAAGGAGAGATTCATCTATCCTGTCTTCTATTTTGGCAAAAGCAATTAGTTAATGGATTTTAGTTATATAACTGACATTGTAAAGATTTTTTTACACTATCAATGAATTTTAACCTGTGATAGCACGCCACTCACCATTTTTTACCAGATTACCAAGTAGCATTTATCAAGAGATTTAATTGTAATTACCTAATAAGTGACTTGATTGTGTAAATATCTTTTACACCGTAAGTGCATAAAACTTAAACTCTTAGTTAATACACCTTAATTTTAACAGGAAATGGTGGACTGGGCGCACAAAAGTAAAAACGCTGGGAAAATGCATGCATGTGGCCATGATGCTCATGTTGCAATGCTTCTTGGTGCTGCAAAGATTCTTCAAGAACATCCAGACATTTTGAAGGTTTGATTCTTGTATTAGGAGTAACACATTTCATTTTATTTGCTCAAGATTTGACTTTTGCCCATTTCTCAATTTGCATTTTATCCATTGAATGAATGAACTTTAATTGTTTGGCATCTGTGCTGGTTTGCTGGATTAGTTTTATGGCCAATTTAATTGATTGGAGAAATACAGGCTTTATTTTGCGTTCATTTTGATTTTCTGAGGATTGAAAAGGGGTTGGGCCCAGGGAAGCAGGTCCTGAAAGTAAGTGCCGGAAAAAAACTACCTTACAATAGAGTAGGAGTTAGCAGAATCTGGTGTACCTTCTCCAAATAAGACGGTAGCTTGGAATTGTAATTCTAGTTGGTGGGTAATCAAGATCGCTTCCGACTTAATATTAAACTTTGATTAGCTCCGCAAAGCATTTAAAATGATGCAAGAAGTTCTATTGACCTGCTAAGGAAATATTGTAGAGAATCTTGTAAGCTTTTTAATATACTTCAATTTGTGGAAATGTTAACCATGCTCTTACACCTGACTACCATTAGCAAATACCATATCCTGAATCTTTCTTAATGAATCCATATCCCAATCCTCAGGGCGTACAACATCAGTTCTTTGTTTGTCATATATACTCTTCTGGAAGCTGATATTTCCTCGGGTTAATATTTTTCACAGGGAACAGTTGCTCTTGTTTTTCAACCAGCAGAGGAGGGAGGTGGTGGGGCCAAAAAAATGATAGATGCTGGAGCACTAGAAAACATAGAAGCAATATTTGGTCTGCATGTCAATCCCCAGTTTCCTTTGGGTAAAGTTTCTTCAAGGCCTGGACCTTTTTTGGCTGGAAGTGGTTTTTTCGAAGCTGTAATAAGTGGAAAAGGGGGTCATGCCGCTATTCCACAGCATTCGATAGACCCAATTCTTGCAGCATCAAATGTAATTGTCAGCTTACAGCATCTTGTTTCCCGAGAGGCTGATCCTCTGGATTCTCAGGTATCTTTCTCCCCATCCACTCCCCCTTCCCCAAGGGATAGACCTCACTGTACCACGAGAAAAATTCTAAATGGTTTTTGTAATAGAACTTGTTGCAGTGTCCAACTACCCATGGCAAATACAGAGCAATTGTCATGATTTCATTACTTGATCTGGAATTGTTTGTCCAGCAAAAGAACCATGAATTGCAAACAAGATACAAATTACTATGTGCTTGAGTGAACTAGACAAGTGACTTTATCCTTGCTCTGAATCTGGAAAACGTGATATTAATCTTAAACATTTCCAATGACCCTATGGTCTCCAAAGAGGTAATAGACCTCTTTGTTTGCAGACACTGAATATTTAACCATACCGATTTTTTTGGACAACATTAATCTCCCTGTATCTAGTGACTACTTAGTCAAACAAAAGTGAAATTAACTTCAAAATCTCGTGTTTCGAGCCTCTAAGAGAGTTCAATGTCTAAATCAGAAGCAACCCGTCAGAAGTTACTCAATCACCTAATGCAGCCCTCTCCTTGGCTCCCTTGCTTTGAATCACAATATGCATATTCTATTCTGATGATGGCCTTTATAAAGTGGAGAACTTTATGAAAATGCTTAAACGGAATAATTTGAAAATGTCCTAAATAACATCTTTAGATTCACCATAAACTTCATGGACTCAAAAGTGTTATATTTTGGATATCAACTAGATTCTGACAGTGGTGCTGAGGACATTTCTCGAGGGAAATCCATTGAGAGTCCTATATTTGATAAAGTCATGCATAAATCTTGGACCGATGAGCCTAGCCAATTAAGCTCAGATCTTCTGTTTGATCACTGAAGCGACAGAAAGCTTCTTCTTCTTCTTTTGGATGGAGATGGAACTATCAGGAGGCGGGCTGCTGCCTGCAGCCAGAGCCAAAGAATTTATTATTCTTTTCAGATAGAAAATGAAAAATGGAAATATATTCAACGTGAGAGGAATCTTTTTATTTATTTATTTGGGGGTCATAGTCTCTTCCTTCCTTAACGGAGCTCTACTTTGGAATTTATCTGAAGTAGGTGAAGTTTTCTCTTCCTGTTCTAGTTCCTGTTTTGAAACTAAAGAGTCGAATCCCTGTTCTTTTGTATGGAAAGTGGAAAGCGGAGCCAAAAAAGTTATCTTTTTTATTAGAGGGCATCCTGGTGCACAAGGCATCCCGAGTTCACGCGAAATGGAGATATATTTAAAGATGGAGGAATTAGTTTAAGATTATTTGAAGTTTGAAGGTCAAAAGCTCTTCTTTCCTTAAAAAAACTCAACTTTCGTAATTATTGGTAGTAAGTGAAGATTTCTTCTCCCCTTTCTGATTTCTGTTTTAAGATAAAAAGTCGTATCCGATCAAATGATGCTATGGGAGGAATATCTAAAACTTTTGAACTCTCTCTCACTGAGAATGTACAATGACTAGCGCTCTTACTGGGTTTATATTTGACTATAGCCTGATTGGGAGACAAACCCCATTCTGCAGCTGAAAAAGTGACTGTGGTGAATTTACTGTATTGCTGATGCTTTTAGAAACTTTATCCTTAAAATAAGGATTGGCATACCTCAACAGATGGTTCTCATTTTCCACTTAGTCATTTTATTTTATTTGACATAGAGTATGATTTGCAGGTAGTCACAGTTGCTAAATTCCAAGGAGGTGGTGCATTTAACGTTATTCCAGAC